GAAGAAGATTTGATCGCTGAGGGCAACACCTTTATTTGTCTAACGTCTCGATATCTGTGGCGGATTCTTCATCAGAGACGACAGCAGAAAACAGTCGCAGAAGGTCTTCAAATATCTTACTCTTGTAAGGTCCTGATTGTCACAATCAATTTAAAATCTGGTTAACTCAATCCAACATGTCGGCCGGAGGAAAGAGATAAAGAAACAGCTGGATATTTTTGTGTGCCATGTGTCCTCTGCGTTCCACTAGTGTCCTGAATTCGTAATATAGAATACTTTACATTGCATGCAATGTGGGAGCATACTTGTCCGAAAATGTCACCAACCCATTATCTTTAAGCTTAATTTTACTTGTGCTGCTTTAGTCACTCAGTTTTTTGCATGGACATACTACTTGCACATTAAAAACTTACGTTTTCTTAGGGCCGCAATTTTCGCTTTCTCGGATTGTTCTTTTTTCTAAAATATTACTTTTACTTTAACATATCATATAACTTGATGATCCGGAATGTGTCATTCTTTTTATTTGGATGTTTGTGTTTATAATGTAAGACTCTGGGGAACGCAACTTGGGTTCATTCTGCGTACCAGGCCTACTCTTGTAAAAATCCTTGGGTTTCATGACCTAGCCCAGTTATTGTAATCAGATATTGCAAAAACTGCTAAGCTTCTACCCACTTAGTTTCCAAATAACGCATTTGCAAAAAGTGGGTTATACAATAGCTATCTCACCACATGCTTACCATTTAACATAAAATGTCTTGCAGGGCCAATCCGCACTAAGTCCTTGAGTATTTGCAAAGGGCCAGTAAATGTCTGAAAGTTTAAACAAACTACTGCAATATGTTTTTTTTTCTGCATCCTAAGAGATCAAGTGAAGTGAACCTTTTTTGTAATTAGGCATATATTCGGCTAAAAGAAGGCCTATACTTACAACCTGCTTCATGCAAAAAACGTGAAAAACATCACTTTTAAAATGCGGAAAGTTTCGCTTGGAGACACTTTCGAGTTAGTTTTAGTCTCTTTGGATAGGAATACGTACGTGGATGCGCAACCTTAGACTAGGGTAGCTATTAACAAAGAAACCCATCAAATTAAAAAGCCCTGCAGAGGTTCGCCCATATTTGTTAGAATGATGAAGTATTAAGTAACATATTCTGCGTGCAAATAGCACTTTGTAGGTAGGAATAAATCATAGGGCTGCTCAAGGTCATAAAAACCTCCTACCTCAATTGTCTGACGGGTTGCACGTTTAAAGATTTAATGCTTGATTCATGAGCTATAAGTGCGTGATAAGTGGGCAGTAGGAAATACCCCACAGCCGTTTGTATTGGTTTTAATGAAAACACAAACGCAGGTGAATCGTTTACCTGAAGAACAAAAACCCAAGAGAAATTCCTATTATTTAGAAAGGGATACCTATAGACTATGAACACTAGTAGAGTAATTCCCATTACCATCATGCGGCCCTACGGCATATTCGTACCGCTTGGGACAACAGACTTGGCGAAAAAATAAAAATGAGCAGTATTTCGGTTAGTCAAAAACGATCATCTCCATTTCGATCAACGCTTTTCATGAAATAGGTCACAGACTGTATATCCAATGCCCAACACCTCTTGGAGTTGAATTGAAAAATAGTCTTCTTGCGAAAATAATGTCGTAATAGCGACTGACTTAGTAACCCACTCTCACTTTAACTAGCTTAACTAAAGGTCATTAATTTCAACGTACAGCAGTATCTCTGAGAGACTTGGATGTGTAGAAAAAGTAAATTCATATACTTATTTTCCAAAACCACTTTTCCGAAAAACTTGAATTTTTACTTAATAGAGAACGAGGAAGGAATACTGTTCACAAAAGCAACAAGCGAGGGTATCTGTTTGCTTCTGCTTCTTTAAATATTTGCCGCTTATCTGCCTTGTTAAATTCACAAAAAATAAGCCTTTTTGCTTAAGCCAAAAATTTGACGGCATGTACGATGGATTATTTTAAGCCTATTTTGTATGAATATTTGTAGAAAACGTAACTGGTTATTACAAGCCAAATGACAATGACTATGCAAATTACGGTGGGTAGATACAATATAATTTTTTTCCGAGTTGCATGTAAGCCCGCTTTAGGGCATTAAAACATCCAAGAATCGCTAAAGTTGAACATTCTATTATACAGGTCCATCTACGAACCACTCCGTAAGCCGTTGCGTTCGTGCTCCAGGATATAGTAGGTGGCAGTTCATTTTCACGTCCGATTTGTTCATTGCACGTTGACAATTTCGTCAACGCTACCTCCCTAACCAGATTCTTCTAGTAAAAACTACCTTCTTAACTAATAGATGACTGTGAAGGCGGAATAAGAACAGGTATCATAGAGCGGTAGAGACATTGTTGCTACTAAGTTGCACTTACTTGTTACACCTGCAAGCTAATACCACTAGTTTTCTTGATGTTGTCCACATATTTAACATTTTCGAGAGTGAGATACTAACCCCAGCTGGCATTACACTCTCTGCTTTTCCCATCACCCACAGCTGATGACACAGTTAGAGGTTGCTTTCTGTGCGGCCCTTTTTGACACTGGCCTGCTTGCACTTCATGCACTGGCATTGCACATCGCATGCTTGCGGTTGCTAGCAGTTGCCTTGTAAGTGGAATAGTTGATTCACATGCCCGCTTCCTGCTTTGTGCCATATAGATCGAACCCGTGACGATTACATGTTGCCGCTCTTCACACTGAACTTGCCGAAAAAGTCAAGTAGGTAACGCAGGCTGGCTAGACCTAAATTGTACCTTACGGAGGCGCCGAGACTTACTCATTCCCTTTTAATTCTCTTTTATCCAAAGAATCCAGAAGAAATAAACATCGTCATCGTTCGCTGTCATCATCATCATCCTCCTCTTCTTCATCTTCGTCATCGTCTTCTTCTTCTTCCTCATCCTCCTCTTCATCGTCCGCCTATCAGAGAGTTGTCCAAGCAGGTGAGTTTGTGCGATAGCTCTCCCCAACAACGAGTCATGCTTTCCCACATGAATCGTCAAATTAGCGCGTACTTGAAATTGTTTTTTCAGATGATCTGTGTCCGGATTGCAGGCGAATGGCTGGTAAGTTTGAGCATGTGTGCTTCCAAATTAGACCAGTCCAGTCCATCCTACCTTGTTATCCGTTTGGGCTCTTTCACCCCGCCTGAAAGGTGGCGAAACACGGTATCTGTTGCCGATTTACACCTAAATGCCGTGCATGATGAGTTTGTGCTTTTGACTTCTTCAGTTCGTACCAGCTTCCTGAATATGTATTCGTGCAAATAACTTGACATTATTTGTTTGGTAATACATTTTAGTGTGGCTAACTTCACGTTGCCGATCACAAACTAAAAGCATGACGAGGATGAAACATGAGGCTTAACATCTGAGATAGGATTGCGATTTAGATTAATATTACGGGTTAGGTAAACTAGTCATTAGGAGTAACTATTTGTTGATCGAAACGCGTTTTCTTTGCATTTGCAACCACAGCTATCTCGCGGTGTCTCCTATCTAACTACTGAAATCCGTAATCAACTGTCCTTTACACACTTCACCTAAGGGCGACCAAGCGTTGTTGAGAATAGGTCGTAGATTTTTTGAAGACGTACAACGATGTCAGAGTGTTGGAGACGTTTTTAATCAAATCCTTTTGGCCTTGCCTTATTTCCCAGGAAATAAATGTGTGAAGTTGGAGTTATTCCATCGGGATAAACCGTTCCAGACGCGCTTTGAAAGTGAACATAAGTCTTTGAGACACTAACGACCAGCTGCTGGAGAATAACCGCTGCCAACAGGCAGTTAGTAGTATAAAACTGCGTAATTACTTGCCGTAATGACACTTTGATAGGCATAATTAAACTGCGATCCGTCAGCTACTGCAGTATAACCGTCTACTATTCACAGAATGCCAGCATGCAGTCAATAGTATACAGCCATGTAATTATTGGCCGTACTGGCAGCACAATTGCCAGCTAACAGCGTGTTTGCTCGATCTTTTGCGGTCGCCTTACGCAACTGCATAGGGTTCAGCTCACCAGTGCGCCCTCCAGCGTTTTCAAGGTGTTTTCTGATAAGAAAAATCCAGTTTCATCCTGTCTTTTTTATTATGTTTCCGATGACATTAAGCTTTTTTTTACCTCTTCTTCCCACACATTTCTGTTGGCTGACCCTGTTGTTGCTTTTATGTCCTTACAGCAGCAAGACACCGTTCCGGTAAGCATAGACAATGCCCTTATCCCACCCAACATGAGTACCACAAAATGCGGTCTCGGTTAGTTAGTTAGTCGTTGAGGGTTTCTGGCCAATCTGGTTCACCGCGCGGCAGATGCACCTTTGACTGCGTTATGTTGTGCGATTGGGACTCCTAAAGAATAAATCGCATAGTCATCGCAGAAACACAGAAGAAAACAGGACAGCTGGTTCTCTCCATTACTAGTTGCTAAGCTACTACCTACGTGAGCTATCTACTGAAATCCAGAGCAAAATGGAGGGAATATGAACCCCAATCCAGCCACATAAATGAGGAGGCCTCCTGCGATAGTTGGGTACACCGATAAGACAACGGGTTGCTGACTTACTGAGAGAATGGGATCAGTTACCAGCTCAGGGGCAGATAGCTCGGTTCCGAGTTCCACGATACTGAAAGCTGTGGTTTGACTGTGAATACGATGACTACGACCGGCACTTAGTCGGAACCGACTTTGTAAAGCTCATTCTTAGGCGTCGCTATTTATTCAGCAATGTTTCAAACGCATGTGGGTTGCAGGGCGGTTAAAATGTCCGGCTTCTACCATTTTTGACGAAATCGATGAGTTACTTGGTACCTGCTGTTTGCTGATATCTGCACAGTTCAATATCAAACTCCATGATATGATGTATGCAATAGTTTTGAGGAGGCCTTTTGGGCAAAGTGCTTGCAAAAAAGATTATGGCTGAAAGAACCTTGGTTCGTTTACTCCCATTCCTGGAATTAACCGAAGGTCATCAGTATTAAGAGTAACTCTTGCTATTTCCCAATGTTCTCTTTGGTGTGGGGCCATGTAAGCAGTTCCAAAACTGTTATACGTTTTCAACTGTATTTGCTAAGAGGTCCTAGACCATTCTGCCTTTGAATAGTGTAGGGTGTGCTCTGAACACAGAAAGCAAAAGAATCGTCAACATATGTTAAATAAAAGATCAATTAAATGAGAACACTAAAACAACCATCTTACTTACAAAACTAATCTTATTAAATATAACATATGGTAAGATTACATCACAAAACATGATAAAGTATAGACAACAGTACAGTATGTACAATTTTTTTTTATCAAAAATGGCAATTATGTATTTAAAACCAAGCAAAATATAACGTTGTGTTTATTAAATGCTAAAATGTTAACAATACTGTAGTATAATTAAACTTAATACTCTGGAATACTAAAAGGCTAAAGTTAGATATAAAAAGAGTAGTTCTATTGACAAAAAATTAATTTTGGTGTTCTATTTTCAATACCTGTTATTATAGCTCCAAGAAACAAACATTGTAAGTTTAAAAAAAAACATTTTGCAACCATGCACGTTTATTTAGTAGTTTTTGTGGTCGGACACATTTTTTCACCCAACGGAGTCTCTGCTGTGATTAGCGTATCTAAGAAAGTCCACTCCTCTGTGATCTTCAGTTATAACGATCGCAGGTTTAAAGACCATCGGTGAAGTATCCACCTGATGACCAGGTATGTAGTACATAAATTGTAACTTAAGGCTAGACAGGACTTAGAGGACAGATATCCAACCATGCTGAAGATGAACTTTCTTATCAACTCAAGCTTTGTCAGTGATCATTTAGTACTGCTGGCCTTCCTAGATACATTTTCATATTGCAAGTTCACCTTATTTTTTTAATAAGTCCCAAAGTGACGTTAGTTATTATTTTCGCAACTTCCATAAAATAACAGCCAGTTCTTACTACTTTCTACCATAATCGAGGACGAGTCAGCCAGCGCAGGCAAAGTACGTAGGCTTCTGGCAATAGAAGGCCACTGAACTGAACGTTCTGCTTTCTAGGATGCTTGCACAAGTTATTTGATGCATATCTAATTTATCCCTTTTTTTTCTTTAGGCTCCCCGCCCAGACGAGGTATGTAAGAATGCTGTTTACTCAACTGAACATCGACACTTAGCTAATCATTCAACGGACGATTGTGTTCTTTGTTATGCAGTATTAACTGTTCCTCAAAATATTAGGTAGTGGGATTAAAAGGTTGTTTTTCCTACACAATAATTGCAAGATGTTCCAATTGCGTTTAATTTTGTTTGCCTGCAAGAACTGCAGGCTCTAAAATGACTACGTAGGAAGTAGAACGTTTACCCAGTTATTTTCGTTCAAGTTAAAATTATGAATACAAATAATTAAAAAGCTGCGCAACTACTTTCCTGTTAATATTTTGTCTTATTTGGTGTTGTACGTGAAAAATAGATTGTTGTTGAATTTAAATAAATATGTTATTATAGAGTTGTAAGACTAAGAAAGTTCCATTAACTAATCATCATACCCGTGTATTTAATAATGCAGTTTGTATGGTATTCAACGTACTTCACATTCATTTAAATAATGTCAAGAGCATTTTATGACGCATGCCCAAAGAGTATATAAAACTTATTTTTTCCTGAAAACGGAAATATACAGCTTTATCTGGCAAGTTGGGTTAAATATTATGAGCAACGTGAATCACGTTGCTAAGGTCTAGTGATGTCCGCACTTCCATTATGAAAATTTCAAAATGCAATTTAGGCTATTTTTGTATGCACTTTACATAAAATATAATTAATTCAAGAAGGGGACCAGGAATCAGTGCAAATAATAAAAATACTTAAGTAGTTATATTTGCATAGAGTGTGGTTTTTGTAGGCGTCCGATAAGTAACTACTTTAAGGGCCTTTAGAGGCATTCAGCCGTGACTGAATTAGCTGGGAAATATGATGCAATGTAATTAATCTAAAACTTTACTTAGGAACTATTTTCAAATTAAGAACCGATTGAACGATTTCCTTGAATATTTGGTGTAGTAACAAACCTACTGTTAGCACTGAAAATCTGCAGAACAACTGTTTCACACGGAAATTTACTATTCACGATCATAAGAATGCCTTAACTCGTTGCGTTATTCTGCTTTCTACTTTAAGATACAGTTTTAACGCATGGAGTAACTCCACATATGTATTCAGTTCAGTGTCGATTCCAGTAGTCGTGTTGACCATGTTGCACTTGTTCACCTTACCACGCAGCTTGTTCGTTGGAAGATGAACTACATTCAAATGCAAATTTAATCAATCGTTTAATAAGTTTGCCTTATTCCTGACTCATCTGATAACTTCAAAAGGAATGGACATTACAGTTGCGTTACTGGTCTCATAGGCCTTTCATTACGCTTTTCTACTTATTTTATTGGTTCCCTCATTTGTAGAGAAGTCCAAGAGTCGACAACGCCAGTCAGCCAGCCGATGTATGTCCAGTTCGTGTGAAAAAAAATAATCCTGAAAATTTTTAGACAAACTACTAACCTGACACTTTTCCCTTGCAGCCAAGTGGGAACCAATGTACGACATGTCTCAGTCAAGTAAGTCAAATTATTGTTTTCAGTGCAAGAACTCATGAACATGTGCATTGCTCCCGAGCTGAAAACTGGTCTCTGTTTCGACGACAGGCTTACCTTGCGTCGGCGTGTCTGTTCATAGAACATGTTATAGCGCAGCCCGGAATAACTGGACGCAAGTACAGTCCAAGTGAATTTTGCTGGATGCACATTTGGTTATAAGTGCGGGCGAATAATTAAGAGGAACTGAAAATTCCCTTTCACCGTTGAATGCCGGGCGTTAAATGTAAGCATACAGAGTAGTATTGGTCGTAGCATGCCTAGGCTCAGAATTGTGCAGTGCCAGTCTATTCCACCC